ACAGCTTGGATTCAGAGTCAAAACTTGTAACCTGGTGCCACTCAGAAGAACCAGACATGGGTGGAAATGTCTGTGTCCTATACAGTGACTTTGATGCTTGGGTTTCTGCTCCTTCCCCTGAAAATGCAGGTTGCAATTCTGTCTAAATGTGGTAGGATCCAGAGCTCTCCCCATGCAAATAACCTTTTCCCCATGGATGACTGTTAATAGGCAATTATATATGATTAACTGTGTAGCTCTATGTGACTTCAGAACATTTAAGGCAGACAAGGTGCTATCTTAAAGATAAGACTGAGAAGTTGAGGAATAAGTATTTTTATTAACATGAATTAATTACACGATTTAGTGGGTTTCATGGGATATTTCCCTACAATGTATCATGCACTGACCATGTCTAAGGGCCTTTCTATTCCCTCCTGTCTTCCCTCATCTCCAGTGTCCCTGGTCCCCTTTCCATATGGACTGCTTCAGGAATACACCTATGGATACACAATTTAAAGTTTTTAAAGTTTGTAAAGTATTTTAGTGCTTCCTTTGGTAACATATATACTAAAGTGGAGTGATACAAAGTAGATTAGTATGGCCCCAGTACAAAGAGAATACATGTATTCCTGGCTATGAAGTCGATATGTATGTTCTCATAAATGGATGAAAGGTGTGTGATGTGTTGCACATAAAAATAGCTTGATGACACACTGTACATTTATATTACAAATGTGCATTACATTCCAGAACACTATGCTGTACACCATAAATAAATACAATACTTTAAATTTTTTCTTTTATTTATCTGTTCTTTAAGAATTTTACACCCAGATACAATGTGTTTTTACCACCACTCTCCCCCTTGGACTTCTTCTGGAATGGCTTGATTTGGCAGCCATAGCTGCTGTGGGTTCCTGAGGGCAGAGCCCTCTCATAGCCAGAAAGCATTCTCTCACATAGACCTTCCTACCCTATGGCTCTTGCAATCTTTCTGCTTCTCTTCTGCAATGTTACCTGAGCCTTGGGTCAGGTGGTCCAGCATTTGTGGTCCAGTACTCTTCTCTTCCTAATTTTCTGCACTTTGACTAGTTGTGAGTCTCTGTTAACATTCACCCACAAAAGCATATGCTTTTTTTTTTTTTTTAAAACTGAAGATCTGTGGTAACCCTGCATCATAAGTCTACAGGTTATATATTTCCAATAACTGTACTGACCGTTAGCAGTTTTTAGTAATAAAATTTTCTTTTTAGATTATGTAGCACATGCTGTCCTGGAACTCACATTGTAGGGCAGGCTGGTTTTGAAGTAGCAATCCTCCTGCCCCAGCTTCTGTAGTGTTTGGATTAAAAGTGTACAGTTCTATGTTCTACTAATGAATTGTTTTACAATTAAAGTACATGCATTGTTTTATTCACTATGTTGCTATTACCCACATCACAGAGAATACTACAGTATAAGCAACTTTCATATGAACCAGGAAATAAAAAAATTTGTGTTTATTTTACGGAGATATTTCCTTTGTTTTAGTTGTCTGTTACAGATCCCTGGATATATCTAAGGTGTGACTATGTAAAGTATATTCATTTCAACAGAATTTTTTTTCTTTCTTTGGATAGATGCTTTATTTTCTTCTAGATACGTAGGGTTAGAATGACTTCATTCTCAGTGACTTACATTTCATTGAGTAAAATGAGACTGCAAACCCTTTTCCTAAGTAGTTAACAATTTACATATTGATGGCCATTGTATGAAGAAAATCTAGTTCCACCAACCCTTCCCCACCAATGCAATGGTTAATCTGTCTCCTTGTGGTTTGCTTTGTAGTTCTCTGATGTCTCATGAGCCATTAACCTTCAGTGTGTCTTTTGACAGTGTTCAACATAAAACTTTCATATATACAAAGAAAGAAGGAAACATGGCACACACACACACACACACACACACACACACACACACACCGACAAATATTAAGCCCAAATGTTCTTGAGTAAAATAAAATTTGGGTTTACTTAACCAAGAGTTTAACTAGGTATTTAAATTTGTTAAAAGATCTAACGGAGCCGGGCGGTGGTGGCACATGCCTTTAATCCCAGTACTCAGGAGGCAGAGGCATGCGGATCTCTATGAGTTTGAGGCCAGCCTGGACTACCAAGTGAGTTCCAGGAAAGGCGCAAAGCTACACAGAGAAACCCTGTCTCAACCCCCCCCCCCGAAAATAGATCTAACGGGAAATATGTCTGAAGATAGAAAGGAAGGTAAAATATGACTTTATTACCAAAGATATGTCAGAAAGGATTAGAAAAAACACATACTTTAAAACCACAAAACCCAAATGAAATTTTCCGAGGCCAGCAGTAGACTGGGCCAAAGACTGGACAGAAAACAGAAGTAGCAAACTTGAAGATTTGTCAATGGATGTTTCCTGTCTAAGTAACTGATAAAGGAAAAAAAATGAAAGAGAATGAGCAGAGAGCCTCTGAGATCCTGAGACATGCCAAGTGTATCTATGTACATGCATGGATATTGTAGGAAAAAAGAGAATGTAAAGCAAAACTATTTAAGAATCACAAGCTGAATATTTTCTAAATTCAATGAAAAACATTAATGCACACTCCACTCCACATTTGAGAAGCACAACACGTTCTCAATAGAGGAAGCTTTAACAACTACTCAGTGACAGAAGTCAAAAGAAATTCTGCACAAAGGTAACTTGAATTCAAGTAAGCTTCCTTAAATGCTTAGTGAGGATGCACTTACTATTAAAAAATAAAACTCAGAAGTGAAGGGGAAGGAATGTATTGGAAGAATATATAATTTTATTAAGCACTCATCATATCAATTACTGCCTATTTTATATAGATACTATAAAATAGTTCTAATACTTATATGATGGGAGAATACACAGAAAGTCTTATGTAAGTTGTAAATCTAGATTAATAATGTTTTGAGATTAAGTAAATTTTATAATTCACATTTATTTATTGAACATTTTTACATTTTAGGGACCACTCCAGGTTTGGGCACACACTGTGATTTATTTAGTCCTTATCACAATCCTAAAGGTATTTCCATTATCCCTGTTTCAAAGGTGACCTTACTTGACAAAGGAAGATTTCATAACTGGCTCAAAGCTGAAAGCCAAGTGAGAGAACACATTCAAACACACGTGCTTCTTCAGACCCATGGGTGCACCCATGACCTAGAGCTTTACAGTTTGGGTTTACAGTCACTCTGAATGCCATTCTGATTTCTTTGTTTTATTTCTCCATATTGTGCCAGTAGACTATTGCAACCTTGAGATGCAGTATTCTCTTCAGAACATAGCTCCTCCTTCCCTTCCTTCCCCTCCTCCTAGCAAATGATATCTCCTTATAAAATGACAGAAGAAAATGTAATCACCTGTATGTTTAAGAGTGGTGGGCAAAGCACCTTACTGTGATGTTTAACAAGCCACATTCACCAGACTATTTCTATTCCAGAATTTTTCCCATGTTATGTTGTCATTAATGCATCACAGATCTCCATCCACATGACTATCTAGATGACTAACCTGCCCATGTATTTTTTTGTCATCTTCAATCTTTGTTCAGAATTAATACTGAGCCTTTCCCTAAACGAAGCAGTCTTACAAACCGGCTCCGAATCTCCTTGGTTCTTGCTCCATAGATAATGGGATTGAGCACAGGAGGCACTAGCACATAGAGGTTAGCCAGGAAGATGTGCACATGCTTGGGAACTCGGTTGTGACCAAAGCGATGGGTGAGGAAGGAGAAGAAAGCAGGGGTGTAGAAAACCAGAATGACACCAAGGTGAGAGCCACAGGTACTCAGAGCCTTGCGTCTGGCATCTCGAGATGGAAGACGAAAGACAGCCCGGAGGATGAAGCCATAGGAGATGGCAATGAGGATTGAATCCAGGCCCACGGCCAGCAGAGCCGCAGTCAGCCCATAGACAATGTTGACAGTGATGTTGGCACAGGCAAGCCTAGCAATGCCCATATGCTCACAGTATGTGTGAGCTATGACATGGTGACCACAGTAGGGCAGTCGCTTCAGCAGAAAGATGAATGGGGTGACAAGAGCCACATTTCGGACTATCCCAGCAAAGACAATTTGGCCTATGACAGTATGATTGAGAATGGTTGTATATCTTAGTGGGTTGCAGATGGCCACATATCGATCAAAGGCCATGGCAAGGAGAACTGAGGACTCCACAGCATAGATGAAATGCACACAAAACATCTGGGTTAGGCATTCACCAAAGGAAATCTGTCCAGCATGGAGCCACAGAATGGCAAGTGTTTTGGGTACAGTGGTGGAGCTGAGAGCCAGGTCAGTGAGTGAGAGAAGGCAGAGGAAGAGGTACATGGGAGCATGAAGAGCACTCTCTGTCCCAATGACAAGGATGAGGGCAGCGTTACCAAACAGTGCTATCAGATACATGACACAGAAAGGGATCGAAATCCAGAGGTGGAAAGCCTCCAGCCCTGGGATCCCTGTCAGGAAGAGGGTGGCTGGGAGACTGTCACTCACGTTAGAGGATGACATCCTTGACAGAAGAAGGGCTCAACCCAAGGTGAAATTGCACACCAGTCCTGTAGCATCAGGTATATAGGTGATTCACCTAAAATAATGGCTTTTCTATGAAAAATGTCTTTAAACAGAAAATACTCATGCCTACTAACCAGATTGAGCATCTGAGAAGATGCTGTCATATATAACAGGTTTTTCTTTTTGTGCTCATCATTGGTGCTATGCATTTAGAATAAAACCCCAAGCATCAAACTAAATGTTTATTTGTCTGCTCAGCTTAACGCACTTGGATCTATTTCCTACCACTTTCCCCACAAACTTTGCTTCTTTTCTGTACACACAGCTAGGGACACTGCTTGTTTCTTTTTTCAGTTTATATCACAAGCCCAGGTAACCTTTTTTGTTTTTTCATTCCTCTCAGATTTTTGAAGTTCTCTTTCTTACCTGGTTCTTAGTCACCTTTTAATTTTATTTTATCTACTACATTTTTAAAATTGTACTGGGTTGAAATTGTCTTTATTGGGTTCTGATCTTGACCTTTTCATTGACCTAGCTTTTGATCAGCTTCACTAAAACAATTACTTGGCAATTCACAGTAACACAGCACTGCCCATTTGGCTCAGTACCTCCATGCTTTAGTACCTCTGTATCTGAAAATATCGACCTAATTATATGTCTAATAGCTTGTTTTTGTGTCTTAAGTGTTAGCTAACCTGTATATCTCCATCTGCTTCAGGAGTATCCATAGTAATTTGAGTATGAAATACATCACACATGTTAGATGTGGCTACAGCACTCCCAACTACTTCGAAGTCAGTGCATGGCTCTGCAAACCCACCAGAGCAATGGCTAGATGCGATGACCAGCTAGCACACCAAATGCTAGTAAAATAAGATGTAGAGACAGGGTGGATAAGCCAGGTGTTGCCAGCAACAAAGGTATCCTAAAGAATGAGATGTTTTTGTTGCAGAAGGATAGTGTGTATTGTATGTATCTTCCTTCAGCGACACATCATAGACCCCCAGGTATCTTTTTGTTGAGTATCCTGAACCTTAATTCAGACATATGAATTTTGTATGGCTATTTTCAAATCTCTGTGTCATCCTGGCATACACAGCAGTGGAAGCCCAGCTCATCTACCCTTTGATTTTATATACCAGCTGAACCTTACAACCTTGCTGAGGTTTTGAATTCTTTCTGAATTGAGAGTGACAACATTCGGCTTGCCTATCTCGTACAGCCTTTTCGCATTGAAGAAAGTAGGTGAGTAATGGGGTAAAAGTTTTAACCCCAGGTCAATGCTTGCGGCCCCTCCCATCAGGCAGCACTGTGGGGTCTCTGCCATACTGCCTGCCCATTTTTCTGAGACAGGACTCAAGAAAGTGTTACTCTTCTTCTTCTTTTTAAACTTCTCTTTATCTCTTTTTCGGATACTGTCCAAAGGTTAAACATACCTTCCCCTGCACTTTGGGCTTCCTCATTCTTTCTCTGAAGCCACCCTCTTCTTTTGCCCCATGGCAGCTCATTGACATTCACGACAAAAGACATGGCTTTCTCCCTATCTCTTCTCCATCTCCCTCTGGCAGATGCTTATACTGACAGCTTGCCTAATCTGCTGTTTTTCTCTTAAGTGCAAATAAAATTATCCTCAAACCTAAACAAAACAAAACAAAACAAAACAAAAAACCAAAAACAACCCCCCCCAAAAAAAACAAAACAAACATTCAAATGGCAGAAGCAGCCCCTTCTGTATCTCATAAGCTCCTTGCCCCAGAGCAGCAACCAGAGTGGTGGAGTTTAAACATTGATCTTACCTTGATCTTTGCAGGTCCAAGCTCACAGACATAAAGTGATGAGATGCAGAGCCCAGCACTGTCAGAATTACAATCAGCTCTCAGGTCTCTGGATTCAAATGTTAGCATTTAACTTCATTTAACTGTTGATTTAGATGGCCAGCACTCAGATACCAATGTTCTTCTCGCATGGTACTCTGTATAAATATCTGTATCATTTCTGAAATCATCACTGTTTTAAAGAGACAGATAAAAGGAGGCGGAGGGGGGTGCAGGGAGAGGGAGAAGGAGAGGGAGAGAGAGCTTGTTTGTCAGAAGATTGTCTCTGATAACCACAATTCCTAGGAGATAAACACTTGGACAGTGGAAATCAGAGGCCTGGTCTTTCTGTAACGTTTTCTTTTTTAGCTTATTGTTGCCCCAAGAGAATACTTCACATGGTAATTGTAAGGAGGATGCTCTTCCATGAGTGAAAATGGATGGAGACTCTGGAAAGGTGGAGTACAGATAAATCTGTATTTCAGGGGAAATTTGGAAACAGATACTGAGTTGCAGTAGCAGTGTGCTCTCTGAATGGGGCCATGCTTCTGAAGTGGTTCGATGCAGCCTTGCTATGAGTCACCATGAGTTTTTTCCTTTGATTTATTTTAGATATTAGCAATTGAACCCTGACTTCTTTCTTTGAACAACCATTTTTAGAGACTCTAATACTAAGGGCATACCTATCATAGACTTGCATGTGTAGGCTTTAGCTGTGGTGGGTTGTCATGTGAATTTGAGTCTTGTGAGGTATGAGTAACAGAAGAGCCATGTGTTTAGGCAATGTGTAGGCACACATGATGGTTTGTTTCTGGACATGAAAGGTGAATGTGCAATCTGCATATAACTGTCTATCCATCCTAGGTTTTGTAAGCTCAGGGATTGTGTTTGGTAAATCTCTGAATTTCTTCCTTTTTTGTTCAAAGTATGTGGTTTTGTATAGATTGTGATGCACTCAAGTTTAAAATGAGCCCAGGTTAGTTGATTATGTGCATTTTCTTGTTGTGCTTGTGACACTGCTGGGTTCTACAATCCTTCCTCCCCCTCTTCTGCAGGCTTCCCAATATTCATGCTTATTTTCTCATCTCTTTTCCCATCTCCTCTTCTCTATAACAGTGTCGGTGTCACTGAATTTCCTATGTACTGTATGCTATGGTTTCTATGGACACAGGTCATCCCCAAGGCCATGTGCTAAGGAATGATCATGGACATGTGCATGCTCCCTGACCATTAGCCTTCCTTTCACAAAATATACCTTAAAATTATTAATATTTTCAGAAACAGGGCAGGAGAGTATTGAATCAAGTTCAAGGCTCTTTTCAGTGCAGGACCCTTTGTAGTTTCAGATTATGAGGCAGAGGTGTGAGCCATGTTGGTAGCCTGGTCAGATCTTCTCATATTTCTGATATTGTATTAATAAAGGCAACACCTAAAGCCTCACAAATTATTCAGCAGATTTTAAAGGAGGAAATATATTCCTTAGTATAGTTTCCACTTCAATTCAAATATAATCAATGGTAATGAATCATGAAAGGGTAGATTTGTTTTTTTCACTTTCTTCTTCCTTTTTATTTATTCTTTGTGTCTTTCACATCATGTCTACCAGTCCCATCCATCTCCTCCTCCCTCAGAATAAAACAAAATAAAACAGGAGAAAAAAGGAAAAAGAGGAAAAGGGAAAATCTCATCTTGGAAGCTGCAGTGTGACACAGTGAGTCATGCAGTAAACCCTTTTATCCATCCATTTTTACATGCAGGCATTCATAAAAAAGCATCATTGGTTTGGTTTAAGGCCCTTGGTCTCTGCTACACCATTGGCTCTCACTGCGACTCTTCCTGGACATCCTGTTGCTGCCCTGTGTCATGGGGATCCTGCAGCCCTGGGTCGGAAGGATTGACTCTTCCACCTTCCTCATGCTCCAGCAGATCACAGATGGGGTGGATGTTGGAGGTGGCCAACACATAACCTTGGTTCTGGGACTGGGTAGTTGCAGGATTAGTCAGCCTGCCAGCTCTCCCCTGTCCTCACCACCAGGGGGAGCTCTCCAGCATTGCCCAGGCTGGTTCACCCTTCCATCTATGAGCAAGGGGCAGGCCCAGTTCTCCCACTTTGGTGTCCTTAGGATTGGTTCTCCCACACCTACACCTTCAGGGCCAGCTCTACTGTGTTACCCAGGTGAGGTGTAAGGCCTACTCTCCCAAGAGCTGCAGCAGATGAGGGGTAGGGTGGACTCTCTCACTCAGGGCCAGCTCTTCCCCTGCCCACGCCACCACATGACCAATGAGGAATGAGGATAGCTCGCCCATGCTTACAACATTGGGGCTGGCTCACCCACACCTCTGCCAACAGGTCAGCTCTACTGTGCTGCCCAGGAAAGGTGCAGGACCCACTTTCCTGAGTGCTGCAGCTGGTAAGGGGGAGGCTCAGCTTTTTATTCTCAATTTAATTTTTCAACAGTTACACTCTAAGAACAGCCTTTTAAATATAAATAACTTAGAGGAGAGTGGAGAATGTTTGCAATGTTGTTGACAATGGTGTAAGCACAGTGGGTGACTTCTGAGATCAGCTTCTGCTCTCAGCAAGATTAAGTTGTTTTCACATGACCGGACGCTTGTAGCCAAGTTTAATTCTAATTCTAATAATAATTCTAATGAAACATCCTAAAAGCTGCTTATACCAGAATCGTTTATCTGGAAGTTTAGGCTTTGCTTCTCCATTGAATAGCTTCTTACAATCTTGTCTGGATAAATCTTGCCATCTAGCCTCCATTCATTATGGAGTTGGTAAAAAACAAGAAAGAGACAATGATTTTTATGTCTACCTTGGCCTCCCAATCTCTTCGTGGCCACCCAGGGTGGAAAGAAAGGAGCCTAAGCCCTATAAAAGTGTATTTATAAACTACTACAGCCTATTTCTCATGAACATCAAACTTTTGTTTCAACAGTGTAGCTCAGATGAAACTCCAAATCAGAAGAGAAGTGGAAATCATGCTTTATTTAAACCCTAGACAGCCTCCAAATGAAAAACTCTCCTTAGAAATACAATAGTTTTCTACAAGTATTCATCTACTATTTAATATAGACTATTAATGTCTGCAGTGTTTTTGGGTAGTTGGGGGTCTCAGTATTTCTTGATTGAGATCCACCCCCAAATGCACATTTTGAATTTCAGCTCACTTTATTTAGAGAAGTGAAAATGTTACCCAGTAAAATGCGTGAACTTTGCTGGACAGACAAAATAGACTCTCACAAAATGACTGTTACTTAAAACATGTTATTATATAGTTGCTCCAAAACAAGCACCTGATAGGGCTGGAGAGATGGCTCAGCAGTTAAGAGTGTGTTCTGTTCTTGCTAAAGAGCTAGATTCAGGTCTTAAGACCCATGTGCAGTTGCTTTCAACTGCCTGTAATCCCTATTCCAGAAAATCATACACCTTTTTCAATCCTCTGCAGGCACCACATGGTAAACATAAACTCACTCAGACATGCATATATTCATATAAAAACAAACAAACAAACAAACAAACAAACAATCTGAATACCTACAACCAAGAGGGAAATCAGCCTGTGTTTAAAATTTATATGTGATGTATGTTTCATAGTCAGTGACTTATGTGTGAACAGGGCAAAAATACTATAGAGTAATAAAAAACTATAAACAGTTTTTGATATGTGCTTTTTATTTTGTTCTGTTTTATAAGAATGATAAACTCCAGAAAATAGCTCTGTCTCTCTCTCTCTCTCTCTCCATGCCCCCCCTCTTTCACACACGCGCGCGCGCGCACACACACACACACACACACACACACACACTTAGCATATGGGTTATCTGGCTGGCTATTTGACTGACTGTTATCTGTTTGTGGAAGCAGGGCACCAGGGAAGAGTCCAACAGCTGTCATTTAGAAAGCCAAATTTCCCCATATTGCTTTCAATATTTTTGCTTAGTCACAGAAAATTAAACATCAAAGGAACACTTACAATAAGAACTTGTTACTAAAATTAATGTTAATTTAGTTAGCACTTGATTTTTTTTAGCATTGCTTATTATTAACATTCCCAGCACCCTGAAAAGATATGGGTTCCCTTCATCTCTTTTATAATGACAGTATTAAGAAGTAAGAAGAAGCCGGGCGGTGGTGGCGCACGCCTTTAATCCCAGCACTCGGGAGGCAGAGCCAGGCGGATCTCTGTGAGTTC